GTTAGGTGACATGGGGAGAGCGGCATCAGATATTTCCTCTGAAATGATAGCAAAGCCATTGTCAGAGCAGGTTGCTTCTGAAAACAAACAAGAGGGAGACTGATACAGCACCAAAAAATTATCCTCTTTCCTGCCCAACCAGAAATTGGCTCAGTCATCTGTCCTAGAAAACAAACTTCCTTATCCCACATCACTGATTACCCACAGCCAGGTGGCACCAAAGTGGTTAATGTTACTTGCCCTTGCTTTCCAAAGGAGGATTTCTTTCCCTTCCCGATCTTCCCCAGTTGGGCCAGGTCTACACTAAATTCAACCTTCCCCTTTAGATACACAATTCCAACTACATTAATTAAGTAGCTATAGTCAACATTCCTTAATTCGAGTTTCTCCGCCATCCCTACAGCGGGAGGCCAACAGGAGCAAACACTTCTTTGGCTTCTCTTACTCCTCGCGGGAGCAAGAATACCAGCCGCCAGTGGAAGTTCCCTCTGAGTTTAATTTAGCAGGTCTTTACTAGATCCACTAAATCAAACCTCAGAAGATCGATTGTGGCAGCATCAGTCTTCTCCCTAGTGAAGACATGGCCTTAGAGAGACAAAGTGGATGAGATCGTATCTTTTAGTGGACCGTGATGGGGTGTCTGTCCCACGCTGGCCCTACAAGGGTTAAAACCGAGACCTGGGAGAAGACTAGAGTTATGGAGCAAGCAGCTGCAGCAGATAGCAGTCAATTAGGGCCCAGCCCAGGGCAATATAAATAAAGGCTCCTGGAAGGGAGGAATCTCTGACTCACTCTGGCTTCCGCTGTGGAACAGGAAGGACCTAGCTTCCAGGGAAGCTAGAGACTTTTTTTCTTAGAGCAGGGCTGGGGAGAGGCAGGCAGAGCTGGGAAAGCTCTGGCCAGGCAAATTCCCAGGTTACCGAGCAAGAAGCAAGGCCTGACGATATATGGGCTGCAGACAGGCAGCCAGGGCAGCAGATGGCAGCAGGTTGACACCCCCTTGCCTATGATGAGTGGCCATTTCAGACTGTAGTTTGGGGCAGGGGCTAGATGAAGACTGGCAGTAGGTTCACTGAGGGAAGGTGGACTTAGGGGTTGGGGTCCCTGAGGGGGAGGACTCCAGAGTGTGAGAGCACTGAGGCAAGGGGAAGGGCACCACAGTCTGGGAGGGATGTGACCCTAACACAAAGTGGTGGAGGAAAAAAAGGTAACACCAGGCATGACACCAGCCAGAAGGGGGAGCTCCAGCACTGAATGATGCTAATTCCCAAGTGACCCAACAAGAGGCACTGTGGCTGTGAATTCTGCTGTGTTATATGCACCAATATGTTGTAAGTTGTTGAGAGAGACAAGCTTTTGAGTTTCCACAGAGTCCTTCTTCAAGTTGCTAAGTGAAACTACTTTTTTTCCCACCAGTAAAGAGAAAGGTGACTGAAAAATGACAGTTCATTGTGGAGGGTGGCAGTAATTCAGCAGTCTGTCAAGGAGTTTTTCAAGAGACTTTCTACCACAGAATTAAAAAAACCCCCAAAACAAATCATAGCTAGATTCCTATCTTCTCATCTCTCTGTCCTCTGCCACAGCCCACCCTTCTTTTAAGTCAGCCTTCTTGGCAAACTATTGTAATATCACTCTCTGCCTGTCTGCCAGACGGGGCAAAAAGCCCTCAGGATAAGTAAAGTTTGTTTGTATCTAAGTCCAGATCATCAATGCTAGTCACAAGAAATTGTGGGCACCAGCATACGTGCAAACATCTGATCTGAATGTTCATATCACACAGATTTCCTATAGATTTAACAGTGTAGCTGACATGCATGGAGGCAACATAGCTGATGCGCATGTGTGTGCAATATACCTGAGATGTGCATATATGTCTGATTTTTGTATGTCTGTACATTTGCACACATCTCTTTTATGCATGTCATCATAGGTAGGGTTGCCAGATGGTTTCAGAAAAAATACTGAACCAAAAAACAAACAAACAAACAAACAAAAAACAAAACAAAACACATGCCAGGAAAAACGTTGAGCAAAAAACCCCCCAAAACACCATGGCCCCTTTAAAAACCGCGTGGTGAGGCTTTTTTGCCCTAACATCTTGCCTTCTTGTGCTGGGCAGGCACTAGGGTTGCTAGACTGCCTCCATATTGAGCCAGACATCCCGGGATTTTCGCCTCCTAGCCAGGAAAAAAAATCAGAAAGTAACGGACATTTTAGGTGTCCACTATTTTCTGAAATTTTTTACTGGACAGGAGGCAAAAATAATGGACTGTCCAGTTCAATATCGGACACCTGGCAACCCTAATCATAGGCTGCCAATGAGGCCATAGCCTGGGACCTCAAAAGTTAGTTGCAGCAGTGCTTTAAACAGGAACACACCACACAAGCTGAATAGTAGGTTATACATGCTCACAAATGCATGTTTCCATCTTCTGGGAGGAACTAGATTTGCCTGTCCATCCCTGCTAATCTGCTAGACTCCACGGATTCCTCTGTGCCATACTGCCCCACCTGGAAGAAAACACATGGCCAATATAGAGGAAGAGCTGTCTCCAAAGAACAGCATAGGACACAGTTTGCTGTTTACCAGGAAACTGAGATGAGGCTTTGATTGCCCTTGGCTGACAATAGGAGTTTTTCCAGCCTGCATACCTGGCCCAGGGGCTGGTACTGAAAATACATTTTGTTTTAATGGACATGAGGCAGCAATGCAGGGGTTAATTACACAGATGAAACTTTAGGCTTCAAAATCTCCAAATGTAAAACCCTGGGTATCAGAGACTTAGTAGTAGGAGGCTAAAGCCTGAGGGGATTTCTCACTTGGGGGAAGGACTCCCATCTTCCCTCCCCGCAATGTTCTCATGTGGGGCTGCCTCCTACTGCTTCAGCAGTTCCCACCTACTCCATTTCTCTATGTTGCTTCTAAACTGCTTCCCCGCTCCCATCTTCAAGCTGCTGCAAAGGAAATCAAGTGGGAGTATGAAATCAGTTCAAGGCAGCCTCAAGAAGAGAAGTGGGGGCTTTACGCACTTGGGAAGCATTTGAAGGCAACTGGAGTTGGAGCCTGCAGAAGTCTGAGATTAAAAATAGACTGTAGCCTCTCTCCTTTTGCCTTCAGCAGGTTTTTTGTTGTCTGACAGTCCGCCTCACCCCATACCTCATGGAATAGTTAAGACCAAAGCAGACTGTGAAGAGCTTCGAAAATAACTCACCAAACTAAGTGATTGGGCAATAAAATGGCAAATTAAATTTAATGTTGATAAATGTAAAGTAATGCACATTGGAAAAAATAATCCCAACTTTACATACAATATGATTGGACTAATTCAGCTACAACTACCCAAGAGAAAAATCTTAGCATCATTGTGGATAGTTCTCTGAAAACATCCACTCAATGTGCAGCAGCAGTCAGAAAAGCAAATAGAACGTTAGGAGTCATTAAAAAAGGGATAGAGAATAAGATAGAAAATATCTTTTTGTCTCTATATAAAACTATGGTATGCCCACATCTTGAATACTGCGTACAGATGTGGTCGCCTCATCTCAAAAAAGATATATTGGCATTGGAAAAGGTTCAGAAACGGGCAACAAAAATGATTAGGGGTTTGGAACAGGTCCCAGATGAACAGAGATTAAAAAGACTTGGACTTTTCAGCTTAGAAAAGATGAGACCAAAGGAGGATGTGATAGAGGTCTATAAAATCATGACTGGTAGGGAAAAAGTGAATAAGGAAAAGTTATTTACTTATTCCACAATATAAGAACTAGGGGTCACCAAATGAAATTAATAGGCAGCAGGTTTAAAACAAACAAAGGAAGTTTTTCTTCACTCAGTGCACAGTCAATCTGTGGAACTCCTTGCCAGAGGATGCAGTGAAGGCTAGAACTTTAACAGGGTTCTAAAAAGTGTTAGATAGATTCATGGGGGTTAGGTCCATCAATGGCTATTTGCCAGGATGGGTAGGAATGGTGTCCCTAGCCTCTATTTCTCTGGAGGTAGGTAACAGGAGAGAGATCACGTGAGGGTAGGTAACAGGAGAGAGATCACCTATGTTGATCCCTCCCTCTGGGGCATCTGGTATTGGCCACTGTCAGCAGATATTGAGCTAGATGGACCTTTGGTCTGACCCAGTATGGCCGTTCTTATGTTCTGAACCAAAAGAAATCAGAAATGGTTGAGCTCGTCCAGTCCGCCCCCCTGCCAGGGCAGCAGTAGAGAACCTTCTCCTCCCTACCAATGATCAGCTCCCTGAAGACCTCCTTACTCAGTACATGAGAGAAATCGAATGGCCCCTCTTCAGTCTAGAGCAGAGCACAACTGTAAAGAGACCTTTGGTAGAAGGACTCAGGCATGCAAGTCCACTCAGCATTTGAGCATGTGCCACTCACATTTGTAAAGCTACTCACATGTTTCAGTGCTGTGCGGGACTGGGGCAATACTGCATGGACATAGCATAGAGGTAACTGGACATGTTTACACAGGACTCTTTGGGCATGTTTACACTGCAATAAATAACCTATGGCTGGCCTGTGCTCCTGGAGCTCAGGCTAAGGGGCTATTGAATTGTGACATTTAGACTCCTGCAGGATCCTGTGCAGCTGTACCTCATGGAAGGAGTCAGTGCCTCTTGAGATGTCTGGGCTAACACTGCGATGTGTTCTGTGTCTGTACTATTTCTTTAGCTGCAGCAATAAAAAGGTGGATGCTGTGAACCAGGGGTGAAAGTAACTTACATTTCTTACAGGTACTGTCCTATTGTAACTCAGGTAGCTCCCTGCTGGCTGTTGCTACAGCTCAGCCAGTTCTTGCCGGAGCTGTGCACCAGGCACACTCCCTTATTTTCACCTCTGTTGTGAACACTAGATCTAAAACAAGAGTTTGGTGCAGAGGTCAGGAAAGAGTTTTGCTGTTTTCTGGGGCAGCGCCATCATCCCAGCTCAACTCCTGCTGGTTTTGTGTCAGACTCTCCACTGATCATTTCCTGTTGCTGTTTCCATAGGGACGTTTGTGTCGGCCTTCACTGTGCTGTGCGGAGCCCGGACTGACCTCCCTGACCGGCACATGTGCTGTGTCTTCTGGCTGAACATCGCCGCGGCACTGATTCAGATTCTGACGGCCATCGTGATGGTTGGCTGGATCATGAGTATATTTTGGGGGATGGACATGGTCATTCTTGCTAGTAAGTACAATGTGCAATCATTTTCTCCACCTCCACATTGCTAGTGCTCAGCTAGTGTCCTGGAACCCAGCCCTCGAAATGAGGAAAGTGGAAACTGTACCAGACAGCTTTTATTAAATGGGGACAGTCACACTAAAACATGGGGCGAAGAGACACAGAGTGGATCTGCCTCAGCACAAGGGTGAGGCTAGTGTTCGCATCTGTTTGATTTCTTCCCATGATATCAAGCTCTGCTCCCAACCTCAGAAGTAGCTGAATATTTCTGTAAAATGATAAGCACTGAATTGCTTAATAAAGTTCATCTATTAATTGGCATCATTGTGCTTCAAAGAAAACAGTGTTGTTGCATTCAGTGGAGCAGCCCTCACTTCCCAGAGTGATTTTTCCTCTGCTGCCTGGCAGACTTAGGAGGAAAGCACCCGTTGATTCACAATTGGAAGAATTTTTCCCCCCACAACCATTAGCATCACAACCAAGTGATGGTCTTTTCCATTTTAGAATGAAAGCTGTAGAAATGAATGGGACCGCCAGAGAAGGGCTGGCAAATAACACTGGTTCAGCCCAACCCCCGTTTCACGGTGCCCCATTTCCTGATGTTGCATCAATCAATGTTCAAATAAGCACTCTTGCCCTCAGCAGTCCTGCTGCATCCTCCCATTTTACCATACACCAGCTATCAGAGGTGAACCCAAGTTTCGTTATACTCTCTGGTGTTGTACTTTTAAATTATATCTACACTATGCACTAGGGGTCTGTGTTCCCTGCTTCTGTACACACAGATTGGTTGCCATGAAGCTAGTATGAGTATAAACAGCAGTTTAGCCATGGTAGCATCATCGGCACCATTTGGGAGGGAGGACTAAAGGGACAGTAGCTCCCCCTTCCCAATTTTGGGTTTTGTGTTTGAGGTCTGCTTAAAGCCGCATGCCCTGACTCAATAGGCAGTTCTTAATTGCAACAGAGTTTGAGCTGCTTGCAGCTTTGCCTTTGGAACAGGGAGTTTGTTATAAAAAGAGGGAGGGACAGGGTGATTAAGAATAACAAAAGACTGGGCACTCCAGTAATTGAAGGAGCATTAGATCATCATGAAAATTTAACTTAAAAGATGGGGGGAAGAGAGTAGGAATGAGTGTTGTGCTGTTGGGATTTGCATTTGGACCACTGCTGATAAACTTCTCATAAATGTTCTTGAAAAAGGAGTAAACAGGAAGTAGTCCAAAGCCAACAGCAAAAGAGCTACAAAGGGATCTCACAAAACTGGGTGACGGGGCAACACAAAGGCAGATGGAATTCAGTGTTGATAAGAACAAAGTAATTCACGTGGAAAAATATAATTCTAACTAGAGATACAAAATAGCTGTTACCACGCAAAAAGGAGATCTTGGAATCATTGTGGATAGTTCCCTGAAAACATCTGGTCAATGTGCAGTGGCATTCAAAAAACTAACAAGCTAACAGACAATTGGGAATCATTAGGTAAGGAATAGATAATAAGAAAAATTCCATATTGCTTCTACATAAAGTCATTGTATGCCCACATCTTGAATACTGTATGCAGACCTGATCAACCCATCTAAAAAAAGATATATTGGCTTTGGGAAAGGTACTGAAAGGGCAACAGAAATGTTAAGGGTAAGGAACAGCTTACATACAAGGAGAGATTAACAAGACTGGGACTTTTCAGCTTGGAAAAGAAATGACGAAAGGGTGGGGAGGATATGTTAGTTGTCTAGAAAATCATGAATAGTGTGGAAAAATAGAATAAGGAAATGTTATTTATTCCTTCACTAACATAATATGAGAAGCTGACTGTTATAAGTCTCCCCCTCTCCCCAGGGTTCCAGTGGTCCCGCAACGCCACTTGCTGTGGCTCCGGTTCCCTCAGTCTCAACTTCTACAGTCTATGTTTGTGTCCATTCTCACACCGCTACCGTCTGGATGGACGGTCAAACGCCCTGTAGCTTACCCCCGGCAGGGTTCTCGACTTGCCTAGAGTGATGGGGGAAGGGAGCTCGGGCCCACCCTCTCTCCGAGCCCCAGCCCAGGGCCCTAAAGCAGGGAGCTTTGTGTGCTGGAATGCTTGGCAGAGGGGGCAGTAGCCCCTAAACCCCTCCACTCACGGGTTCCATGGCCCTGCCCTGGGCTGCTTCTTCCCCCATCCCTGGGCCTAGCTCCGACTTGCTGGGTTGGGGCAGGACTCACCACTGCCGACCCCCAGTCCAAGCCCTCTTGCCGGGCGTTCCTCCCGCAGTGTCTCCTCTTCTTCTTTCCTTCTTTCTTCTCCTTCTTCCCTTTTCTCCTCCTCCCCTCGGGGATCCCCACACCCTTTTAAACTGCCCACCAGTGCAACCAGAGACGTCCTCCCGCTTACATCCCCGCCCCTGCCTCTTGGCGCCCCCAGCGTGACGCTGCAGATGACGTCATCTGCAGGCGCCCCCGGTGGCGGGGACCCCTGGGGTCCCGCT